CCCCAAAACCCCAAAACCCCAAAACCCCAAAACCCCAAAACCCCAAAACCCCACAATAATATCTGACATTGAAAGATATGAAATTACTCTTCTTGGTCAGTCAACTCTCCTCCATCATATCTTTTGTTGTCGTGTGTCTTCTTTGGTATCTCCCACAAATAATGGTGCCCAATAAGCTTATGCTCCTTTATCTTAGCGAACATGTCTGCAAACTTAGCTGCATCTTCCTTCTCATAGCCCACTGGCAACTCAGAGTTGCTATCCACCAGCTCTTGCATCTCATAGACCAGGTTGAACAACTTATTGCGTTGCAGGATTAACTCTTGGGCTCTAAGAGTGAGCAAGAAGGCTTACATGGCCTCAACTCTTTGGTACATCTTGACTGCAAAGCTACTGTAATGTATCATGTACTTGGATAGAGACTCTGAGAAGGTGTACTGAGTGAAGATGTCTTTGGCAGATTCGATCTTTTTGGAGAAATATTTCTTTTTACGCTTCTTGGAGGAGCAGTACATGTCATATTCTTTGACGCTCATTGATTTGAAGATTGAGGCGTAACAGCGGGTTGGGAGAGATAGCATGTTGGATAGAATGTCTGAAGGTGAGATAGAGAGATTACTGTTGAATTGCTCTTTGATGAAGTTTATTCTATCTTCACTAGCAGATTAAAGAAAATTTACCTAGCATCTCTAATATCCTGTGATACCTTATCAATCATGGAGTAATTTTTGGAAGAAGGGTCATTTTTGAGATCTATCCAGAATCTATCTTCACAGTACTGTTCACTTCTTTTAATGGGATGTATTATTGGTTCTTCACTTTTCCCATTCTCTTCTGCTAATTTTAGCTGTAAGAATTATATTAAAAATACAAAATCTAAAGTCTTATAGCTGTAAATTACGAATGATAACTGATAAATATTAAATGTAGCTTAAAAAACAGAAACTAATGTCAGAGTACCTTTGCTTGCAATCGTTTGTTTTCAATTTTAAGTTGCTCTATTTCTAGATGTAGAGATTTGACCTCAGTACGAAGCGACTCTACAAACTCTTTCTTCCTTTTACGATACTCTTGAGATCTTTGTTTTGTATCTTTGACCCTTTTATTTTTAGGAGAAGTCTTAAGATTAAGGAAATTTTTAGGCTTTGATTCCATCTTGTAGTTTTTATTCACAATAATCTATTTAATAAGTAATGTTAGGGGTTTTGGGGTTTTGGGGTTTTGGGGTTTTGGGG